CCTGAAATTCTAGAATGTGGATTTTCTTAGTACTAATATTTTGCTACCTATCAATTAAATTATTTAAAGAACGAAAATATAGATAGATCCCTGCTTAGATGTGATATAAGCAATGTAAAACACGCTGTATTGTAGTTTGTCCTCAGGCCAAGCAGTTAAACCTATCGCCAGGACAAACGAGAACATGGCTAAGAGACGACCTAGCAAAGTTGATATAAATGACATTAATTATACTTGGTAAAATTGGTAAAATAATTTTATCAATTATTGTTGATTAAGAAAAAAAGGTACGAGCACTATAATAAGAGACACTTTTATTTTTCTCATTCCTCAAAACTAAGTTTGGGTATTTCTAAATCAATCGTTTGATCGATATCATTGGCGGATTAAAGGATGCATTCGGGCGAAGTCCCCTCCCTCTCCAAATCAGGAAAATAATTTGTTTCCATTGGTCCAAATATGAGTGAATCTAACCAAATGCATAATAAATCACGATATGTTATTTTTTTCAAATTATAGCCTATGTACTTCATCTATCTAATGAAAACACTAATCAAGTAAAAATATAAGTATTGTGCCCCTGAAAGCATTATTGTTACTGTAACTGCGGTATTACAAAAAAAAAAAAGTTAGCCCCATCAAAATTGTGTCCTGAATCTACCGCTTGAGCAGTAGCAAGCTTGCTTGACGTTAATGATAAATTGTCTACATTTGATTTTTTTTTAAATAATCTTCCTCTCCTTAAAACACACTGCAATACGCTAAAAATATTGTGATTTGCAGAATACAATATTATCTCCATATTGATACAGAATCATCATGTTGATTTGACACATTGGAGAAGTGAAACATATAAGCCACCAACAAATGTTCCGAACATGAGCAGGGCATATTTTATAAACTATCGGATTAATAATAGCCCGCGGTACAGACCTTTTTTTATGGAATTATGTACTTCGTAAATGGCTTAATTTTATTGTAAAGTTAACGAATCGGAGACAGGAAAGACTTAAGAAGCAGCACTTTTATTTATAATGTATTTTACATATGGTATCTGAATTATACTAAAACAAGAGTTCACTCCAGCTCTCTTACAAGAATATGATAACAAGATCAAGGATCTAGGTCTCCTGGCAAGTGTGTGACTTCAAGAATTTAACTGCACGAGTCATTTGTCCAGAATAACATGGGGATAATATACCCAGGCAAATTAGGAGGGAGAGGGAAATCGGAAGAAGGCTTCAAAGGAAGTTATCAATAATTGATATTCTTGATATGAGGTCTGTGGAATAAGGCTGGAGTTATAAATAATTGAGAATTGATATTTTTATCCTTTAGTATTGACATGAGGTTCATGAGAAAGTGACCTTTTGCTGAAATCTGTTATTGTTTCCGAAAATATTGATAATGTGTCCAGTCGGTGCCTATTAGATAGCTGTTTCTAAGCAGTATATATAGACGTGTCCTTAGGGTTATGGAAATTGTCAATATATTGTGCACTGATTTCCACTTTTAATATACTAGATTATTTAAATAAGGGGTACATTTAATATCATTATTATTATTTGTTATGGATTAAGTTCATTCCGTAACAGCAGAGCGTTTTCTCAATAAATAAATTAATTTAATTAGGAATTACAAGCTCATCAATACCTATTTGCTGTCCACTTGAATCGTAATATAATTTGATCACAAACTCGAGAAAAAAGGTGACCTACAAAAATATCGGGCCGTTTGACCTATATAACCGACAAGAAAAAGCAATTTACGAATTTTTAAATGTATTTTTAAATATTAGACTCTGTACCACGGTCTGTAAGAGTCAATCGGTAATTGCATTTCAAATTTACAATAAACTCTAATTCATGTAAGCTCAAAAAATATTTTATTTAAAAAACTATGAATAACTAATAGTAAACAGTAGTTAAAAACGATTAAACATGTTTTAACACAAAATGAAACTATTTTAAACATAAACTATTTTAAACTTTGAAACATAGTGTAAACTAGAGATATAGAGCATGGCATTAAAATAAATGCAATATTATACCTTTTTAATTTTAATTAAAATTATAAATATTCATAAATTAATATTATTGTTACATTACAATTGAGTAATGTAACAATAATAACCTGACAAGACTCAGTATATCACGAATCATAAAATTTTAAAAAAATACGACTATTAGCTCTAATTATATGTCATAAACCATATTTTATGAGCCTCATTATGTATGTCATAATTAACTTTACGTTAGTTGTATAAATTTATGATCATTAATGTTCTTGACCGGCCTATAGTTAGAATAATTTGCGGTTTGTCTCGTGTTTTTAAGAAAGTAGTGTGAAATAGGTATCGTTTCCTCTTTGTTATCTAAAAAAATATCAGTAATTATCTTTGTCGAAACAATATAAAATAACAAAAAATCCTGTATAAATATTTATGTTGTTTCTCATAATTCATTTGTACATATTTAACAATTAGAACATTATTTTAGAAAGAGTATCAATTAATACATACTCTGTAAACATAGGACATGGTTTGAATTCAAATTAAATTTACCTAAAATTGAAAGTTTTATACGGAAAACCAGAACAGTTAATTAATCAATTAAGGGTCTTGGGTATTGACTATTTAAATTTGTATCATAATAACATTAATATCAGATAACATTAATAACATATTATCAGAACACAAGAGGTTTTTAAATGGTGTAATAGTCGTATTTCTAATAGTTCAAAATAGTTACTACAACAATTTTCTTTTCTAAAAACCCTTAGAATACAATATCTCAAATTCAATATCGTACTAACTACTTGTAAATCCTATTAAACACGTACATGGTATGTAACATCAACTACCTAAACTAACACCAAATGGAACAGACTCGCAAGGCAACTTTTGTATATTTATCAATAAGAAGAATTTATTTTTAATCAGTTTAAAGTATCTGAATGGCTCGCCAGCTTCGAGGGACATAGGAGGTTAACGTTCTTGCCAAAACGGTGCAATTTGACCCCGAAGACTTTCCTGGGTTTCTTGTAGGGACTTTTGAAACCCAGCAGTTCCAAAATACCTATTGTGGTACTAATCGGGACTGAACGATCGGTAAATTTTTTCTGATGTAGCTCTTTGGGAATTGTCGACTACCGCCGGTTCCATTCCTCGTGTTGTCCTTCCATTGGAGTGTTCTCGGTTATCTCTTCCCTTCTGTTGACTTCATCTGCAATCCTCACCCGTTAATCTTCTGGCATTCCTATCGAGGGTTCTTTCTGGTAACCGTATACCGTATCAACTTCACGCAGGATACGGTTAAAAGACACCCCTCCAACACCGACTCGAATTCTGCAGCCTTAGTACCCGCAGAAGAATATGTTGCCGTCTGCTACATTATCGTCGCCAACCGGTACTTTTCTTACCGGTACTTCTCTTAAGTAGTAGATGTATACTTCGTTACTGGATATCTGAAGCCATAGGGAACGACTTCAACTCGACAAGCCAATTCAGTGAATGGTCATCCTGTAAGTCAATAGTCCAAGTGAGCAATTATGTTAAAATTCTGTCTTAATCGTACTCCAAGTTAGGTTATCTCCTCACGTGGATGAGTTCTTTCGACTTGGACCCATGAGCGATAGGATAGGTCCTTTCAGTTTTACTTCAAAAGAGGATGGTGTGTTTTGACAACTCCCATCTTCAACTTTTCACTACGTTGGCACATATATCTTACCGGTACTTTTGCTAAATTAACCTAGGCTGTAAATAGGAACCATTTTCTTCAAAACATTCTACGACTGGATTATCTAAGTCCAGTCTCCACTGGGCTGATCCCTTGAAAACTAAATTAGTGGCATCTTCTTCGGTCACACTTATTATTTACTTCGGCAGCTTATTACACAGCTAAATTCGACTGATCATTCCTTGTTATAGTGGACATCATTCACTTAATTCGTCGATATTTTGCCCGTTTCGCTTTTAAATATTATTCTTCGGGGCATTTTTATTGCTAACTATAGATAGATCGATAATATATTTATTGCTTTAAATATGCAAAGTACCCATAGTCTGGCACAATATTATTTTAGATTATTGATGTTATAAACCATACACATATTAAACAGTGCTTACAATTATAAATTATATTAACACACAAATAGTAATGATAATATAAATAATTGTATAACTTTCTAACAATAAGTAATAACAAGTAATAGATAAAATTGAAGAATAGAAAATATGTTATATTAAATGTATTATTTTGATGTAGATAAGAACCCATGGTCTACAACGTTAACAGTAATTAACGTTGTAGACCATGGGTTCTTGAATTGTTTTGGGGTTCGAGAAATATTTTCTTTATTTACCCCAACTTTTAGATTCTATTCAAATAATTCATTTAATAAAAATCCTTTGAATATACTACTTGAAGTTTTTATCCCATTTCTTATAGCATTGGTGATGATATGTTGCACTGTCAGAACGAGGGATTGGACAAAAAGAAAATTCGAAATATATCCTACACATTGTACCTAATTCGATTTGTTTCGAATCATTATTTTCTCATGCTTTTCCATAAATTACCAATTTTTAAAAACTTGTTATGTAATGGAAAAAAAGATTGTATTCATATTCTTATCTGAGTGTTCATCGCTGTTCTTTAATCAACTTTTGTATAACGAATACGAAAGCTTATTATTATTATTTCCATTCTTTATTCTCGCTTTGCGGGGTAAGTATTATTATTATCATTATTATAATTACTATAAAAATTGACAAATCGATAAAATTTTATGTTTAATTATCAAAATAGCTTAAAATGTAATTGTAAGATGAAAAAATCAAATAAAAAAACGAATAGATAAATATTAAATATTATTTTATAATTAAAATAATAATTTAATGATTTTTTAAATTAAATAATAATATGTTAAAAATCGTAAGAGCATTGAAATATTACTTACACTTTCTTAGAATAATTAACCTGAATTGAAACAAAACTCACCCCGTCTAAGACCACCCGAGTATAGTTAGTGATAAGCTGGTTGCGCGAAGACAGAACTCGTTATCTCTGTCACCGCAGATAGCGAAACCATAGCACTGGGATCTGTCAGTGACTGAGGCACTTGGTTCCCTCTACAGGCTATCACCAAGGTCGTATCTGAAGAGGATTGTTTGCCAAAGGCGGCTCCCTTCCAATACTGCTTTTTTAAAATTTAGGAAAACCATTTCTGAATTTTTTTGAGTCCGCGTAACTTACTTTCTAAGCGAAATCTTTGAAAGGAATCTTGGTTGGAAGTGTTTGGGACATCCACATTAGTGCAAATACCAGCGGAATTCCCAAAGAACTATGAAATATTCAAATGTTACTTAGATCTAATTTTATAGAGTAAGAAGATGGTATGTGGTGGAGGTCATAAAAAAATTAAAATACCAGAAAACTATTTTATTTGATGCCAACGTTTCGACTCGACTTTGCAAGTCTTCTTCAGGGTCAAGGACGGACGTTCTTCTTACTCAATAATATACCACCGTCTAATTTTGTAGTTTTATTAATAATCATAATAATTAAAGCATATTCATATAAATTAACAAATACAATTTTTTTTTTACTTATTAAATCTGCAATTATATGCAGATTATATGCAATTATATGCAATAATATGCAAATATTATGAACGAACTAGAAATCACATTAGATTGGATCCTAATTTTTTTTCTTGTATTATTGAAATTTACAACTATTAAATGATAAATACAACAAATAAATATGAAACAAGTAACATGAAGAGAAACTATCTTTCTTTTTTCTTTTTTCTCCCTATTCCTCTGAAAAAGAAACCATGAGATAAGTGTCATATTCGGACCATTACGTAGAAAAAGAACGATAATCTGAATTACCTTAACCTTTTTCACCTGTGGTATTTGAAGGTAGGGGAGTGGGGTAGCTCAGTGGTGGGGTAATGAGCTTCCAAAACTAAAGGTAATACTAAGGAAAATTTATTTATTTGTTTCATTGGCCGTGGGGTGACCTTGGGTCGGGCCTCTATAAAGTGGGTAGTCTTAATTAAAAAATTAATTAAGGGGGAAAACCTGGCGGTTGAGCGTGATATCGGTCAAATCACCTCCTTGTACAACTGTTGACCTAGAAACAGTGCTTTCCCTAAATAGCACTGAACCCCAGACCCTTCATGGGTTGTAGTGCTGGTACAAGTATTTCATGGTACATTGTATTGTTTGAGAAATGATATCTCTTCCTGTCCACTTACAGATCTTGTTAAGGTGTTTGGAGTTGGGGGTTCCCCGCTCGTTTAATAAGTAACTACCCATTGGTTGCACTCCAATTATATTTCTATATCAGAAGATCCCGAGGCCATCTTCTTTTGAGACGCGTTGGAGGGTTATCAGGTATAGAAGAGGAAGCAAGGTTGGAAACAACAGGGTTCGGATGGTTCAGAAGTTTATTATGGAAGGATAGGTATATGGATTGAGCTAATTGGGAAACATATGGTACATTAAGGTGGTTATGGATGATGTTATTTCTGACAAAGTAGGGAGCATCGAGGATTTTCCGAAGGATTTTCGATTGTAGGAACTGGATATGAGAGGAATTTGATGGTTTAGTAGAGCCCCAATCTGATATTTTTAGGAGGATATATTGGTATGGTTATATTTCAGTAGCTGTCTGAAATCAACTGCATTTCATTAATGAATACATTACAAAAATGTCTTCACGGAATTAATATGAATATGTTTTACTTTGAGCCTGGTTACTCCAACACATACATTGAAACCAGTCAGCAGAATCCGTAAACCAAAATGATAGGTTATAATTTTTTTTTATTAAAAAACGTCTGTCAATTAGGATCGGTATTTGTATGTGGGATCGGTATTGCTTTCTCATAATTGTTATTTGGTTCATAACAACTTTAATTTAAAGGTCAATGATTTGTCGTTTCAGAATATAGTGAGACCAGCCATTTATGATGAAGTGAATGCTTGTCAAAGAAAATTTGTGTGAAAGATAGAATTTGGCGGGATTTACACGAGAAATTATAACTCATTTTCGAGTCGAATTAGACAAGCCGTTTTCGAAATATGAACGTGACAAAGAAAATATGTTTGTTTTTCACAATTCCTTAAAATTTTATCAAAATCAGATCAAGGATAGTAATTGTTGCGCCCATTGTATAACTTTGACTACAGGCAGATACGATACCAAATATTTTCCTTCATTTCTAAAATGGGACGCCTTCAACACTGAGTATAATTTATTTTAATATCACGTGAGAATACAAAGTTACCCGACCTCAGGTAATGAGAAAGAAAGAATCAAGGGAATTTAATTAAATATTTCACTGAATCTAATTTATTTTTTACAATAGTTTTTTTTTTTCATTTAGCTGCTTACCAGACGTTTGTTCAGGAATGATTAGTTTTGATGACCTTACTCATAATGCTTTTCGAGAAACATTTGGAGGCTCATTACTACATATTTAATATTTTTTGTGTATTTTTAAATTATTATAGAATTTCTCTTCTTCACTACACGTTTAAAACCAGATTGGATCTTTCCGGACTATTAGGCCTCGCAATTCCTTTGATGGCATGTTCCTTTCAGCAAAAATTATATATGATGTTTTTCATGCCAATATTTATGCCCAAGGAGTTCCACTATGATAGACTTGCAGCATACCGAAAGCGGATGAGCAAGTTAGTTTGAACTTCGTCACCTTCGATACACTGAAGACTACATTACTGAGGGAAACTGGTCTATACGTCCCAACAGAGAACCAGCTCCCTCAGCTATTGACAGAAAAAATTATACATACAGTACAGAATTTGCGTACGGGTCAAAACTACAATAGAGGCACAGTACTTTAATCTCGGATGTAAACCAACCTCTGAAAGACTGCGGCACTACCCAGGAAAAAAAAAGATAACTTAAAGACCTAAATTGATGTTGTAAGGCCATAAAGTGTTTATATGAATACTATTTTCCTTATGTTACCAACACCAGTATTATCGGAAGGTAAGGAAAGGAAGAAATAATTTTATTTTTTTTTTTTTTATTCATTCAAAAAAATACATTTAGTAAATGTGCTCTCAGGAATATAATAACATGAAATCGCTTGTTAAGATCGCTGATAGCACTCAAATAATAAATTATTAAAAAATAAATAAAAAACAAAAATGATGAATTCCTGAGGGTACTCGAAGATCAGCAGTTCCCTGCCACAGCTTACTTCGATTGCTGCTAATATTAATTGGTTTCTGTGTCCAACCATTAATGCAAATGATTTTCCTCTCCAATCATCATAAGTCACTATTGATCTAATCAGAGACATATAAATATATTTTTCGATGCCATAAAATTTGTATTACTGTTTATTTTTCTGAAAAAAGACTGGTAATATTAAAGCAAGGTATAAAATAACTTGCTACCAAGCTAGGTATAAAATAACTTGCTTTGGTAGCTTGTTAATGATTGTAACGATTGGCCTTCACTGATATCCATGCCGCAGAAGAAGATTGTAACGGTTAGTTTTTTACGTATCCCCTTAGTTCTAAGATTTTATTTCGGCTACTGCAACCGCCAGGTAGGGGCAAGTCTGGACTGGCCAAAACATTTAGCACAATTGGATTTATAGAGTTAGGTCATGACTTGCAAATTTCTTTGAAATAGTTGAACTGTGTCAAAAACAGCCTGTTCAATCTGTACTACGCACATGTGTTTAAATGACAGATTCATAACCACTTGTGTTTCCTCGAGTGAGGTACACTCAATCATGACAACTTCGCAGCGCTCAAACTGACTCTTTTCCTGCTCCTGACTTCCCACCAGCAATGATCATAATTTTTTTTCTAAGCACTAACTGAAAACTATCATCTGTTATTATCACGATTACGGCGCCGACTGACAAGCTGGATTCGTTTGATACCATAAAAAGAAATAACAACCGACTATCCACCAACGATCGCAGCTTCAGCTGAAACCTGGTTCAGTGTGCAATACCATCCGGCATACACCATATTCACATGTCCCAAAAACTGTCTCAATTTTTCGATATGTTATACAAAACCCATGTTATATTAGTATTGAAATAATTTGTAGTTGTAATTGTAGGTCCTAAGGAAATTCTTATAACACTTACCCTTCCCATTGTATAGGAAAGTGTTTAGTATATATAATTGATAATAATAAAAGGCTTAGCGAATCCGAAGCTTCTACCGACACCGACACCATCGCTATCTACACACCTCTTTCCACCGGTCCCTGTCTGAAACCAGACCCTTCAGATCGGCCTTAACGCAATCTTCCCACCTCCGCTTTGGTCTACCCCTTCGACGTTTTTCAGTCAGCACAGCAAATATTAACCTTTTAGGAATTCTTTCGTTACTAAATTCAAAAAAATTACAAGCCCATTTAATTATCCGCGATATAATCACCTCAATTGTATCAACCGGATACAATCCACGCAATTCGGCGTTCTTTAACCGTCTGAACTCTCCGGTTAATTCGTCCTTCTTCGTTCCTAATATTCTACGCAATACTTTATTTTCAAAACCTTTAGACATTGCTCATCCCTTGATGTATGTGGTCACGTTTCGCATCCATAAAGAACCGTAGGTAAGATAATGAATTGATAGATTATCATTATTAAGTTCCGGGACAGGAAGAACGAGCTAAGTAATTTTGTCACAGAAAAATAATAAACATTTTCCGCCTTCAGCCTAACCTTAATCTTCTATTCATTTTTTTCTAGTTATCGTAGACACTAGATACCTAAACTTCTCTACATGTTTGAAAACGATATACAGCTGGTGAACAACACCGTTGTATTCTAATTTTTTCTCCTTCATTTACCGTAAAGAAAATATTTAATCAAAAGTTGAACGGTCCTGTCTAAATCCGCATTGATGGTCTGCGATAATTTCCTCGGCGTATTCGATGATTCGATCAGAACAGAATAGAAGAATCAACTTTATTCTGGAACAAAGTCCCTTAAGAATAACAATATTGATCATAAAATTCACATTACATCTGGCCAAAATACATATTACAATAAAAGAATAACTAAAACATAAGTAATAAGTGAAGTATTTACA